CACATGGACTGATTATTATACTACCAGGTTTCACTGGAATTCAAAGGTCGACGTGTCTCCTACCCTGGCTTAGTTGATTCATCACTAGTCAGTAAAAAATGAGCATTTGATCACTCCATGTGGGTTATCACCAACCCATTGGGAAGTTGCTTAAAAAAAAAATTACAGCGACTGCTAGCAATTGTCTGAAGAGCCTCCAGACTGTAAGTAACAAATCTAGGAATCTTTGGCTTATGCTTCAATTCCCAATTGTTTTTAATAAGGGGGAATGGTAGGTCTCCTTGGCTCCATACTCCACAAAGGATGACAGAATTTGAAGGTTGACCCAGCAGAGGTGCACCATCGAGGTCGAGGCCGCATCTACTCAGTAAGCCAAAATTCACTAAAAGTCGACCAGTAACTCTAAGGGATTGCATGTTTGAAAGGCATATACAGGGTGCGCAATAAATATTGTAACAAAATAAATTGGCTACAGAAACTGTAAACTATTTACTATGCATCGTATCTACGAAAAGAACACACGGTTATCTTATATAACCTTCACCTGTACTAATTATAGCTCGAAGACGTTTCGGCTACTCATCGACGTTGGCACGCAGAGTTTTTCGAGAAACACTGGCCCGGACTTTTTTCAATGAGCTCTAGGAGCAGCAACAGTGGTGCGTTTTGAAGCGCAGGCTCTCCTCTTCAGGATGGACTATTCCCAGCGACCCATCACACTGTGGTACGGGAAATTCGTGAAGGATTGGAAGGTAGGATATGGATATCTTCAGCACCAGTCTCGCTCTTTTCCCATTCGTGAGCAAGTGCGTCATAGTTTTCAAATCAGATAACTAGAAGAATCTTTGACCCTCAACTGCTTCCTATCAGAAAACCTCTTCCTAATGAGGTTCGAAATAAATTTTGTACTATTCTCGACCAAAATTTGGATATCGCTCTGGTGGTAAGGATTCCAGCCCAAACTATCATGAAAAAGGAAAACTGGCTTTGCGAGGCAATCTGACTCTTCTCAACGACTACAGCACTCGTAGTGTGAAATATATTTATACTTTGGAATCTTAACATTTCTTCCACGCTGAACACCCTTTAGCCAGAAAAAAGTGAGTCGAAGCGCGTGCCGCGCGCAAGTAGCGCACGGCATTTGTTTTACTCTTCAACTTCTTCTCGTCAAAAAGCTTATAGAGCTCTCGAGTCTTAACTGGATACAATTTTATTTCTTGGTAGACCCTTCCCATCGGATTAGAACATACAAAATTCAGCAGTCATTTTCCTTGCGTTTCTGGAGGTTCCGCAGCGTACACTTTCTCAAGCAATTGTATTCGGAAAAGGGGTCGTTGTGAGACAAGGCGGCAGTATTGAAATTTGTTATTGAAATGTCTACGCATCGCGATTCAAGAGACCGTCATGTGGGGGATGTTGAAATGAGGATTGAATCCGAATAAGGACCCACCAAATGCCCGCAAATACGGAACGCTCGGTAGATGTCTGCGAAGTTACACCGCTTCTCGAAATCTGAGGAATTGAGAGTACCAAAGTATTATAGATATGTTGGCCAAGGTACACCACAATTATAAGGGGAGGGGCGGACTTGGAGAAACCCTCCAAGCAAGGAAATCACGGACGTCCAAAAAGTGTTACCATACCATTTATGGCGCACCCTGTATAGCATTACAATACTGCTGCTAGTGCTTGGTCAACCGACGCTTTGCGACGGATTACTCCGTCGCAAACCGTCGCACCGCCATAAATTTTGTTGAAATGATTTGATCGAGTTGAAAGTATAACCAACTGAAAGCTCTACTCGTGAAGAATCCATACATGTAATTAATTTTTGTTTTTCTCGAGTTTTCTGCCTTCATTTCCACGAAAAACGAAAAGTGAGTCTCACAGCACCTGGGTTGTTACTTGCGGATACGTCAGCATCGTAAAACCCCCAGTCCCATTGGAAACTTCGTTCATAGCTTCTGAAATTTATAAATAGCACTATATTCAAGGAGAGCATGAAGTTCTGATCATTTTGATATCCCTCCTGACATAATTTGTCACGTTCAGCTGACTTAGTGGTTCAATTAACCCTTTGACGACAGCGCGCCTTTTTGCGTGTCTGGCGCGGGGGACAGACGCATTTTGAGACTTTCCGCTTCCGCGGCTCACCGTTGAGCCGCGCTGTCCCACGGTCCATGCATTTTCCTGGGGTGAACAGTTTTTGCTTTTTTTCAAGCGTTTTTCTTCATGGTTTAGTTTGAAATATTTGTAAGTCAGGTAATTGTGAGTTTTCAACTTTAGCTAAGTCTGGTTTTATGCATAATATAGCTTGGGAGTCGAAATGGATCAGCCTGCAGTGGTGGACTTAGAGGGTAGTTTTCAAAGATTATTTTTCGTACCCGACAAAAATAAAACCAAACAAAACTTTTCAAGCTGCTCTGAAGGTGTTACACATGGAGGCTAAGATTCACTCGAGATTTAGATTTAAGATTTACTTCGGTAGACAGCCCACAGCAAGGATTCAGCAGCTGTACTTGCTATGGTCATGACCAATGGACGGACTTTAGAATAAAGGAATGCATCTCTATACCGATAACTAGAGGATGACTTATGAACTAGAATGAGTATAAAATGGCTTTCGTAGCACCCACTTGTGCGACACTTGTAAAGGCGAAAAGGAGTACTGATATAAGTTGAGGGTTGGTCAAAAGGTGGGCAAGTTCTCGAAAAATTTGTTACAACCAACTAACTTGAGCTTATTGAAGTGTTTACGGTCCCGTAAGACGAGTCATTTCTAAAGGTAGTAATTTGAAGGTCATTTTTACATTGATTGTTTTCGAAAAATGCGCAAAAAGTGTGATTTCCAGAGAAAGAATTGAATTTATTAGCAGTTTCAGGGATAAGCTATGTTTTTCTTAGCCCACTTTGTGTATAGTGTTATTTAGTGATTGCAAGCCCATTAAATACAAAAAACTACGATCAAAATTAATAATCGAAGAAAAAACCCATTGAGAGGGGTGCGGTCCACCGTTGAGCCGCGTTGTCCCACGCGACAGAAAAACCGCGGCTCACCGTTGAGCCGCGCTGTCGTCAAAGGGTTAAACAAGCATGACAATCCCTGACAAACGTCTCAAAAAGCACTTGAACTATAGGAACTGTAGAAATGAA